TTATTTGCTTGTCTTCCCACCTATTTTTGTTTTTTATGACACCTGTTCTTATGTTGATGTTCTTCTCAAAGTTAGGAAGTAATTCCTGTTTCTTACCTTTTTATCCTGTAAAAATATACTTTTCTTCAATACAAAATTATTGAATTAAAAAAAAAAGATTTATTCTGTTTTTGTTCTGTCTGACAGGAAGTGAGAGAAATCTCCCCAGTGGGGACACAGAAAACAGGTAAAAATCCAGTAGACATTCTAACTCTTCTCTGTTCTCCATTTCCATCTTCCTAGGGGAGATTACCCCTTGTTTGACACCCATTAAAAAGACAACGTGGAGAAATTTCAAAAACAGGAGTACAGAAAGCAATAGAAACTCTATAGACGTTCAAAGAAAAATCTAAGTTAACCTGCCTGTTAGGATCAATCAGATACAGCCCAAGTATAAAACTATTAATGTAAGTCAGAGTATTTTGGTTGATCCTTGTGATATTATGCTATGTACACAATGAACTAATCAAATTTCTATACATTTTGTACAAGAATAGGATCAGATATGCGTGGATTATTAAATTGACAAAGTCAATTCTCTCAAATGAAATCATGTGTGAAAGAAAATTATTACGCCAACTCCATATTTCAGTGTATATTTTCAGTGTACATAAAATTGTTTGTTTCAATCCACTAGAGCATCAAATGGATTTTATTATTCATTACGATGAGAGATTACTTTTATAAGCTATCATTCTGTTTTTTTTAACCCCTTATTACCCAACAGCTGTGCATGAATGATCCTATACCTTGTAATGGATGCTCATAAACAACTGTGAAAGGTTGCAGAACATTTGAACAGATACACGTTCATTGGAGCTTATTGTGTAGCTGAGTTTCCATTTACTACCATACTTAAATACAGTTGCAGTGTTCTTTTTCCCATGACTCCCAGGGCTCTTGAACATAGCTATGGAAAATAAGTTGTTGGCAGGTGTTATTTAGCCTCCATGCTGCAGGTGGTGCTGGATTGCTGTGTGGGTGGAAGTGGAGGCTGAAAGGAGCAGTGTTTCTCTGCAGACATCTGGAAAGCTTAATCAAGAAAGCTGTGGTCTGATTGGACACTGATAGCTGTGCCCTGCTGGGGTTGGTGCACATTCCAGGAGTGGCTAGAGTAGGAAGAAGAATCTTGCATATCAGATACAGTGATTTAGCTTCAGGGAAAGGTTCCTGTATGAAGAGGGAAAGCTTAGGGACATCACTGTATTCTCTGCTGTCCACCTGTTGGAAGACTAACTGCATAGGTTTTGTTTGTTCTCCTCAAGAGCAGCTTGTGCCACCACTCCATCAGTCAGCCATCCTTCTGGCAGATGCGGCACCAGGTAATGTAGGCCGTAATGTAGGCCATGCATGTCTGAAATATTCAGTACTGGACCGTCAACATTACTCTATTTGTACCTGTATCACCAGTGTTACTGTGTTTGCTAGTTCAAGAGTATTTGGAACTGTTACCTCAAGTGTGGGTTGCAGTTACCATAGACACTGTACTGGTGTTAGTGATGGCAGATTGTCATTTGTCTTATTAACCGTTTTACTTGCAACTCTACGATACAAGAATTGTTCAACCCTTCTCCTGGACTTTGTGTGTGGTTCCTTCAACTTGGGTACCAACCTCTTGGCCCCACCAATAAAGTTTCATTGCTTCCCTCCCTCAGCAGCCTGGGAAGCCACAAGTGATAAGGCAGAGATAACTGGGCAACCAGAACCAGTGTGTGGGCAGCCAGACAGGGACCTAATAGCACCCAGCTTCTCTGGAAGACCCATGTACTGTGGGGAGCACCTCCTCAATTGCTACCAGAGTATTCCAGTTTCAGTGGGGTTGACCTGTGTCCTAGGGCCTTAAATTCCTCCAGCTGTTGACCTGTGTTACCAGAACATCCCTGGATTTCACAGAGAGGAATGCTATTTATGAGAATAATGACAAGTAGCTTTTTGAATTCTGAACTGTTTTACTGAAATGATTCTCAGGTAGATTTTCTGTGGTTATAGAGTCCTATAGAGTCTATGCTATGCAGTCATACGTTACCCTGCTGGAGACACAGGGTCATTGTTGTGGGGAGTCCGTGCATGTGTAACTTTCCTAATCCTTTTACTATTATTCTGCAGTTTATGTATAATGTTTGCACTTCTAAATAAGTTTTGCATTATTAATTCTAATTTTGCACCTGTTTAGTAAACTGCAAGATACAGTTACTCCCTGTCTGATCATTTGGCCAATTATCTATTCTGTTAACATCACAGCTAAATAGGTAGTAAAAATAAACAGTAACGTACATATTCATCTACCATGATTAACATCATCTCTTCATAAACAATTGTTTCCAGGAAACTTGCATATATTTTATGATCTTCAGTACTAAATAAAAAGACGTTGACAGGCAATAACAGAGTATTGGGCAAACCAAGTCATACTAATCAAATGTCTTAAAGGGACCTATCTCCTTGCTGGTTATTTTTTATATTGATGTTCGCCAACTCACTTAAGGTTTTCATGACGTAAACTTTTCTATTATCTAGGTTTTCTGTGTGTTTACTGTATATCTATATATGCAGGTAGATGTTTATCTCAAAATATTGACCAGCTGGCATATGAACAGTTGGTCCAGCATACTCCACGTATACTTGTATATGTGCAAGAAAACTTAGGACTACTGTGAATGGGTAGAAGGTAAGTACTGTAGGGGATTGGGGGAGTGCACAAAAAAAGACTGGCCTTAGGCAACCTAGGGTTCATCTGTATTTTTTTGTTTTTTTATGGAAATATGCATATTATACTGGCATCTCTGCTTTCCCTAACTAGGCTGAACATACTGTAGATAGCTTTGCCTTGCAGCTATTCAATATAATTTAAAGCCTCCATTGATGCCCAGCAAGTTGTTACGCCACATAGCATGGAGAGATCAATACTGTTTCTAATATAGATCTGCAAAGTCCACCCCAGTTTTATCCAGTGTTGAGCCCTGATGAAGGTGGGTGTGATATTGCCTATGAATTGTGATGGCTATTTTTCTATGACATTTTTCACCAACAATTTCAAGTATCTTGAACTCTTTCATCCGATTTTGGTCTGGAGCTTCTTTCTGTATTTTTGTGGTTTAAAGCAACTGTTGGGTGCCCATCAAGGCAACCCTTGCTATGTGGAAGCTGCCTAACCAGAGCTATTTAATTTGTTTGAAGTTTTCGTTCATCTGACTACACATGCAAGTCTAAACATTCCGTTGCCTCATTGAGTATGTGGTTTTAGTGCCAATATAATGAAACAGACACTAGTTTCATCTGCTGAGCAGGGTGAAAAGTCTGCAGTCTTCATACATAGCATTACAATTTATCATTTCTTTGGCATTGTCTGTTTAATCTGATTCTGTTCCTAACCTCATGCCAATGATATTTAGTTTGCTAAACCACTGTTCATTATAAATAATTTCCTTTTTTAGAATATATTTTTTTTTTTATTTTGTATTCATTTTCAAAGCTCAGTGATTTTCTTTTACTTCCTTTCATGGTGATGGGTATCACTGGCACAAAAAATTGTGGTAATATATTCGATAGGTAACCATTTTATGTGTTAGAATAGGGAAGAATATAATACTTTGTCATGCTTCTATTGTTGTGTATTCACTGGAGAAATATTCTTTTATTTCCTGTCTTGGTAACAGGTAAACAATAAAAAAAAAAAACTAACCAAATTTCTCATTCTTACCTACTATATCAAAAAAAGCATATGACTGGTCTTTGACTTTAAAGATAGAAGTGAGAATGGGTCATAGAAACAGGTGCTAACAGCATTCTTCAACAAAGCAGAAGGATAAGAGGGGGGCGGCACTTTGATGAAGAATGCTTTTATTAAAGTCTAGCTCCAGGCTCACCCCTTCTCCCAATTACCTCCAATATGTGTTCAGGTCAGTCATGTGATGTGCAGGGTCCATTTCCTTTTCAGCTTTTCTCCCGGAGGTCCCTAAAGTCAACCATAGATAGACCAAATCTCAGCTGGTTCAGCGGGGACCAGCAAAGATTCGATCAATCTAAGGGGCAGGCTGGTTGTTTGAAGTCAATTCATTGATCAACTTCAGTACAACCAGCCTGTCAGATTTTCCTGCAATCATTACCAAAGCTAAACCTGCTAGCAGTAATCATTGTGTTATGCCAGCAAGGAAGGCTCCCTACCAACAGAACACAACAGCCACTGTGGGCAGAGCAGTGGCTAAATGGTTAGCACTTCTGTCTGGCAACACTGGGGTCATTGGTTTGAATCCCAACCATGGCACCACCTGCATGGAGTTTGTATGTTCTCTCTGTGCCTGTGTCGGTTTCCTGCAAAGACATGCTAGTAGGTAAATTGGCCCTAGAATGTGTATGTATGAATGTGAATTAGAGACCTTAGATTGTACACCCCTTGAGAGTTAGAGGCTGACGCAAATGTACAATATATATGTAAAGCCCTCTGTAAATTGACAGCACTCTATAAGTACCTTTAATAAACAAATAGTACTTCGAGAGTGACTTCACGTGTGGAAGGAAATAAAATTGTATCATCTTTAGCTTGCTTTAAGATGCAGAGAGCAGTGCTGACATCATCATGTACAGTATGTATCTGCTTCACTATATGTAAAGGCAAGGCTGTTATGATGCCCTGCACATACAGGACATCCTCCTTCTTCCAGGTTAAAGTATGCTGGATGCCATTAAACCCAAAAGACTGAAGACACCTGGTGGCGGAAAGTAAATATGGCAAAGGACAGAGATGGAGAGTAAGGGGTGAATATTGGAGCAAGAGTTGCTTTTTTTTTTACATTTTTAAGGGACTACTTTAAAAAAAATTGACATTTGGGCCTAACTTTACTGATGTTAAACCCTTATCTATTAGAATACTACAAATATTGTGTTAAATATGTCATTTCTTCGGTAAACCTCTATACTTAAGTCACAATCATATATCAAGGAAGAACAAGGCAAACACTCACATTTGGAGCCGGATGAAGAGGAGGCAGACCGTGATGCCCCTTTCAGTGAGAAGACTCCTTTTCCTCTGCGTGTTGCTGGCACAGTTATTCTGGGGCGTTTCAGAGGGATGACAGCACGGGGTGGAGGAGGAACACGTCCATGACCATAATCGAACAACCTTCAAAGTACAATATTATAGGATCAATTACAGTCGCAATGCTTCAACAAACAGCCATTAAAATAAAAGTCTACAGAACATAGATGGGTTGCAGCCAGGAACATACTCTGTGTCTAGGGTGGAACATATAGTACTTGTTTCTGGGGGCTGATTTAAAAAAGAATATCATTTTGCATCTCAGGTTTTAGTGTTACTGTTGCTGGTACAGCTGAACAATAAAAATACTAGAAGTTCTAACTCTTCCTCACTCTACTAAAATGTGTTTGGTTTTGCCTGTATCACCATTAGAGAGATTTCCTATCACTTTCTGATCTGACAAGAAATAAGGGGAAATCTCCCTGATAGTCACCCAGATGGCAAAACCTCAGCAGAGGCCTTTTCCCTTCACTGCTATAGCCAAAACAAAAAATACATTTCTAATATAACAGAAATGTTGATTTTGTGCATTGAGATGCTTGAGGAAATGCCCTTCAAATGGCCCAGGTGTGAATGGGGTCTAACTGAGAGAAACTGAGAACACTTACTTGGTAAAACAACCTATTCAATTTAAATAGAGATGAAAAGCAATTAAATAGAGAAAAAAGAAAAAAAAAAAAATTGTAATATACTTTTTTTCTTTTTGTATAAGTGATCACATCTCTGTTTTCAGCTGTATAAGGTGCTTGAAGAGGTGAGGGTGGAGAAGCAGCACTACACTGTTCTTCCCAGCGAATGGCTTTTGCAGGGGGACAAGTCAGCACAAGACCTTGGCCATTGGAGGATAGGCAGGCTGTAATCCCAGCAGAGCCAGAAAACTGACTATGATGGGATGGATGTGCTCTCATGCCCAGCATGGCCTAGCATGGTAAGTTTGAAATAGGAATGTGGGAAGACTGGCAAAAACACCAGATATTTCACACAAAGGAAGCAATGCAAACAGTACAGGATACTTTTTAGCACAGATAAATGGTACAAAAGACACATATCAAGAATATGAAATGTTGGGGTAACATATACTCTTTACTCACTGTGTATCATGAGCAACTGTCATTTGTTCTTTTTAATATAAACTACTGTTTTTACTTTTCTTTCATTATTTTTGCATCTCTATGCTGCTGGCCCTCTTTAAACAATTCTTTTTTTTTTTTTTTTTTTTCATCTTACTCAAACTAACCCCGCTCAATTCGTTTTCAATTTTTACCCAACTCTTCCCCTTGTGGTTGAATGTCCAATCATAAATTCTTGCTAAAATTACTGCTTTATAGTATCTCTTGACATCAGGTAGTCCCATTCCCCCTTTCTCTTTAGTTCTACTCAATATTTCGTATGATATTCTTGATTTTTTATTCCTCCAGATGTATCTTATTAACATTTTTTTCATTATCTTAAAAAAAACCTCTGGGAGTTTGATTGGAACCATTTGGAATCTATACAGTATTTTAGGTATGATTACCATTTTAACTAAGTTTATACGTCCTATCCATGATGGGTTTCCTCCTTCTAATATTTTTAATTCTTCCTTGATCTCATTTTCTTTAAACAATTCTTATCTACATACAGTATACTCACTCCAGTGTCAGATGCATATCATTGCTCTGAACTGGATTCCTAAAAGTGACAATGGTGGCCCATGCCTCCACAGTGTGTTGGCATCGCTGCTTGTAATCTCAGCCAGAGGAGAATGTGACAGGATGACAACACAGGATCACAATTGTATTGTATAATAAGTATGGGGGTGGGTATTGGTTTAGTGGGACTTACAAGCCATCTTTAGTCCCCTGGTCAAGGTTAATATTCATTAAGATTAAAAAGTGGCATCCCACTGGAAGTTGCATTTAATCACCACTGGGTTTTTCCTTTTTTGCTAAATAAATGTAAAAAGATCGAACATTTTGAGAAAAAAAAAAAACGTTTGCTATAAAATTTTGCAAATAAATAATTGTTCTTCATAAATTTAGGCCAAAATGTACTCTGGTATATTTCTTTGGTGAAAATAACCGAAATCAGTGTTTAATATTACGTCTGTAGGAAAGTTATAGAGTCCACAAACTATGTTGAGGCGCGATCTGGGAGGATGTCATATGACGCCCACCTGGATTGAAGTCATGCTCGGCCTTCATTTTGCTATTGGCCGGGGTGACCCACTATACCAGAAGTTCATATGTGGATATTACAGAACACTGTATGGATACTTTGCTCTAATGGATACTGTATACATTTGACACGGCTATATATATATATAATGCTACCCCTGTAGGAGCCGCTAAATGATGCTTGTCCTGTTGCGCTGCCCTTACCCTGTAAACTCCCCAGCCCTTCTGACACTTTAGGTTCTGACATACTGATCACCCTTTTAATGATAAGCAGACACAATTTAAATTTAACACTGCAGGGTTTGTATTAATAAAGGTAAAGACAATCAAACAGTTCTTAAAACAGCCTCTAGTATAGCTGGAAGTGAACACCAAAGTAAACAGATAATATCAGATTGACAGTAATAAAGCAATCATGAACAGGCAAATCTAAAAGTGTATCAAGCTATCACCACACTGAGCAGTTGGGGCAAAAATATACAAAGATATCAAACAAAAAGGAAATATTATGGAAAACATGATGCTAGTTAAGAGGGAGGGACCTGGCAGCAGTTAAGCCCCCTTTGGACCATCATTATCAAAATCTGATTTATAATGTAAGAAAGTGAAATCTTCTTTGGAGCTGGTTCACACATCACTAATAATAATATATATGGGCAGTACAGGTTCCTAATACAGGCAAGTATCTTCACTAGCACGTTGGAGCACAGGGATGAAGAATGAAACTGTAGAGTGCTTAAGTGATCATAAAATGGATGACAGGCATAGCAAAGTAACGGTTCCTTTAATAAATCCAGGTTATGATGTCTGCATGTAGTGTCCCTATACTGTGAATAGCAGAATGAGAGATTTTGGGTATCTGCTGGATCATGAGTCCTGGCTGAAAGGGCAACCTCTGCAGAGACAATGGATGCAATGCAGATGCTGTGATCCAGCAGAGTAAAAGGATGGATACTTGGTCCGAGTGTTGAAGTCAGCGATCTACTGTATGTCAAAGCTCGCAAGTTTGCTCTCTGGCTGCGAAACAGGAACAATGTTTGGCCTCGTGGCAGTGCACAGCGATTCAGGTCCACCAGTGGAAGAGTGGCTGTGGTGGGTAAGGCAATGGCAATTCAAGATCCCTGTGTGTAGAATGGTTCCTTTGCTCTGTAGATGATCCCAGGAAGGAGAGAGAGCTCGCCAGAAGCAGTTTCATATATAGCCTTTCTTCGCTGACAGTGTTATGGGGTGTATAGTCTAAGAGGACTCAGAAGTACAGGAATGGCTGCCCACATGACTACAAGTCCCAAGGTCCACTGCTCTTGATCCAGGAAGCAGAACTCCCCTGCTCTATAGTCAGGAAGTGAGTTAAAGTGTTACTAAACCCAGGACCCTGCATCCACCATATCTGGTATCCCACAGTACACAGAACATGGAAGTGCAATTATTTTAGTAAACATAAACTGCTAAATACCTTTTCCCATCAGAAGTTAGAGCAGTCTTGTGACTTCTATCTGTGTCCGGCCCAGCACTAGCTAAATCTTGTAGGATGAATTTTCTTTCTGCTCAAGGAGGATGCAGAACCCCTAACCTCTGTCTGGACAGTGCTGATTGGCCCTGTGCTGACCACATGCACTCGCCCAAGAAAAAAAAAAACCTCTCTAGCAATACACACCAAACTGAGCATGTGCATGTGACTACGGTTCAGTCTGTCTTATCAGGAGATAAGAGGTGGTTGCTTGAAAAAGGGGAGGATCAGAGAAGAAAGGATCAAACAGCCTTTTTACACGATGCAGAGGATTAACCCCTTAGGTTCCACAGTGAGTATAACAAGCATGCTTTACTGCATATACAGACTGATTTTACTGTTGTGGGTTTAGTAACACTTTAAGAGTCTGAGTGTAGCACTAGAGGGAAACTAGGTGATCTGAGGTTCTGAGGATGGTGACTGTCATCTGTATTCAGCTTGTAGCAGCCGTACCTGGCTACATCTATGTATATATATATATATATATATATATATATATATATATATACAGTCAGGTCCATAAATATGGGAACATCGACACAATTCTAACATTTTTGGCTCTATATACCACCACAATGGATTTGAAATGAAATGAACAAGATGTGCTTTAACTGCAGACTGCCGGCTTTAATTTGAGGGTATTTACGTCCAAATCAGGTGAACGGTGTAGGAATTACAACAGTTTGAATATGTGCCTCCCATTGTTAAGGGACCAAAAGTAATGGGACAATTGGCTTCTCAACTGTTCCATGGCCAGGTGTGTGTTATTCCCTCATTATCCCAATTACAATGAGCAGATAAAAGGTCCAGAGTTCATTTCAAGTGTGCTATTTGCATTTGGAATCTGTTACTGTCAACTCTCAAGATGAGATCCAAAGAGGTCTCACTATCAGTGAAGCAAACCATTATTAGGCTGAAAAAACAAAACAAACCCATCAGAGAGATAGCAGAGAGATAGCAAAAACATTAGGCGTGGCCAAAACAACTGTTTGGAACATTCTTAAAAAGAAGGAACGCACTTGAGAGCTCAGCAACACCAAAAGACCCGGAAGACCACGGAAAACAACTCCAACACACGGCTAGATTAGCCTTCACCTCCAGGCTTCGACCCGTAAGGGTCAAAGCGTATAGTGGGATCAAACCCTCAGATCCTTTCAGCATATACTGCTGTCCACTGGTCCGCTCTCCCCATACTCAGATCTCCTTCTCTAGGGGTCGACAATCAAGGTGAGGGGACTACTTTGTTGGCGGAGACCGGTACAAGCACCACGGTACCGGCTCAGAAATGCTACACACCTGAGGAAAGGCCACCCTAGGTAATACCCACCATTGAGTGTCAGAGCTGAAATCCAAAGAATGAAAGGGGCGGGGACCAGGAACAGTCAGGCTGGGGAGGCCAATCGCTTCCACTGATGTCTATTTA